CCAATGGACAAAAACGAACTCGCGCACTCACTACACTTATCGCACGTTTCCATAATAGTAAGACGCTTATGCGGAAAAAATACACTTATGCGTAATGGCAAATCTCAAACTGAATGCTTTGCAAATTATTACATTTGCCATTCATTATTGGAAATTAATAACAATTTGTTCATGTGATAAATTCTCATACATTTTTTCACTTTGACAGGTTTATTTGGTGGCTACTACCAATAATTGGTTATTGTTAACAATAATCGCATTGACCGTAACACGTATGACGCTTTGCTGAATAATTATAACTTGCAACAATGCATAGATTTTATTTCTTGTCTTGGAAATATTTTAATTTTCTTTACGAGAATTACATCAGTTTATCTGGCTTGGTTCTATGTATGTTATGTATCATTTGAAAGAATTAAACTTTTTGATGTTTAGACAATAAGACGGCTATCATATCCAATTCAAGCTGCTGCGTCTAAAGAGAAATAATGCAAAAACATTTCTTGTAAGAGGGAAAAATCGGATCAAAATTAATTGGAAATATGGTTCTTTCTTTCAGTAATTATAAAGATAATAATGAAATATTTTTAATTTATCCTTGTGGTGAATATATATAAACTTAAATTATTATTAAAATTAATACATGTTTTTTTCAATAACGACTGAATTTAAGTCAATGAAATGGTGATTTATTTAAAGTTCTTGTAGATAGATGTTGCTGTGAACAAATAAAAAAATCTAGTACTTTATACGATCGTGAGTCAAATGAAAACCTTAAATACTCTTTTACGTGTGATTTATTGAACAAATGTCGAATACGAATGAATCACTTTTCGACATAATCTCCCTGATATTCAACACACTTCTTCCAGCACACAGGTAGAGCACGGATTCTTCTGGAAAAAATTCTCATTTTCGGGTGCGCAGCCACTCATACACAGCCTGGTGAACCTCTTCATCGGAACGAAACTTCTTTCCTCCCATTGCCTCTTTGAGTGATTCAGACATGTAGTAATTACTTGGGGCGAGTCCTGATGTGTGTGGCGGATGTGTAAGAGTATTAAAGTGAAGGTCCGTGATGATTGCAACTATTGCACAAGTCACATGAAGTCCGGCATTGTCGTTTTGAAAAATGACACCTGTAGTCAGACTTCCACATTGTTTTGATCTGATTGAAAGTCGAAGATAATTTTTCAACATATTGGAATATGACGCACTGATGATGGCGTTTTCCCTAGGCTTGTAGTGTTCCAAAATAACTCCTCGTTCATTCTAAAATATAATCAGCATAACCTTTCCTGCAGATGGATGCGCATGGATCTTCTTGGGTTTGGATGATGAGGAAGGGCGCTATTCCTTTCTTGCCGTCTTGGGTTCGTGTTGATGGTAGTGGACCCAGATTTAGTCCCTTGTAACGATTTTTGCAAGGATACCATAACCTTTGCTTCAAAGTTGTTCGTCAACGTTAAGGGGACTCATACACCTTAAAACCCATAAGATCTTTGAATATGTGACTGTTGCAAGAATTGTGATAACTTATTTATTTTAAAAGCCAACTTCCAACGTTACTTACTACAACGTTACTTCCAACGTTTTACAGCTGACTACATAATATAGCTGCTTTCTGAAATAGTAATCAGAAAGTTTGTGTTGCCACAAATATTTTTATAATTTAATCCACTTTGTGACAAAATGTTTCGTCATGTTTCCGCCTTGCGCACACAGTTTAAAACATTCTGTTGCATTATTTAATTCCATATTTAGTATATAGCTTTTATAACATTTGGAAACTACTGTGAACCTGAAATTCTAAGAATTTCATGTTACATTTTTATTTTATTTGAAGTTACGTTTAAAAAGGTATTTTATTAAAAAAAATCTGAAATGTTTTCGTCCATAAAATTTTTTAATATTAAAATATTCATCAGATTTTAGGTTCAATTAGAAAATAGTCCTCATATAAAAAATTCCATCCAATTTAATGTATGTACCGTCAGCCATTTTTAAAATATCATACGCACGAAACCTTTTGTCACGAAGCTGATTAAATTACAAAAATATTTGTGGCAACACGAACTTTCTGGTTACTAGTTTCCAAAGCAGCTATATTAAGTAGTCAGCTGTAAAATGTTGGAAGTAATTGTTCTTAAAATAAATAAAATATTCCAATTCTTGCAACAGACACATATTCGAAAATCATAAAGGGTTTAAGGTGTATGAGCCCCCTTAACGCATCGCTCTTTCAGTTCTGAAGAGCCGTGGTACCCACCTGACACTTTGCGAAACTTAAGCACGTCATTAATAATGTGATGTGCTGAGTCATGACTTATGTTCAGATTTGTGGCTATTTCATCCACCGTCACTCAGCGATTGCCCATCACGATGGCTTCAACTGCTGCAGTAGACTCTAGTATCACACCGCTACGTACCTGATCTGGGCGAGGAGCATCTGCCACAGGTTACGGAAGACGGGGACGTCTGATGTCTAACATAGGTAAACAGGCGTATCTTCCATGCCCTTCCCTATCTAGCGGCAACAACTCCCTGGAGCCCCAAGAGGCTGCGTCGGGAGTTTATTGAGACATGAAAAAGGTTGTACATGGCCAAGCAAGGGCGCTCGTGTTTTGTTTTACAGATTTGGAGAGACTGTGACTGAACAGAAATGGCAAGGACACAAAAATGTTGTAAAATTTTTAATAAATAAATAAATAATAATAAAAATAAATAAATAAAATAAAGGCAAGAGCAAGAAGTAAAACATGCAACGAAATATAATTAAGGCATGTGTTAAGCTAAGCTGCTAGGATAATGATCTCAACTGGCATGTGGTGCACAATAAGTTGAGTTCTGTGCTAGGAGTTCGTAGGGCATAGATTATATATACATGTTTGCACATAAGATTGTCCACGGTTGCGTAGTTCACATAGGCAAACAGTTTGCACCATGTGTATAGTCGCAAATAATTCGCTGTTTGCGCGTATTGTTCGTAATTTACTCATAGTTTACAGTTGCTTGAGGTCTCTGTTTGCGAATGTGCATTTATAAGCTCGCAGTACACAGATCGTTGCGAGAATTTTGACGGAGGAAACAGGAGGGTGCAGCTGGCTGCGGTTGTAGTGATGCAAATAGCGGCAGTTGTAGTACAGGAGGATGCATATTTACACACTGTGCAGTTTATCAGTTTGCGCATTTGCACAGTTCGTGGTTTCGGTAAACACAGATCGTAGTTTACACAGTAGCACAGTTCACATAGTTGTAGTTTACATAAATTGTAGTAGTTGTGACAGTGGAGTGAAGGCATTGCATCCTGTGACAATTTCATGGAGATTCATAGAACCTAAAATGTTTGAAATCGATGCTCTTTGGTAGCTCTTGCAGATCCTGTGGTGAGCTGTTACTGGGAAGCTGGCGAGAGTTTAGTATAGCTGGCACATCTTGGCCCATGGAGGTTAATGCGTCAGTGGTTTTGCAGATTTGTGTTATTGTTGGCTTAGTGCTGATGATGTAGCGCTGGAAAGCCTCAGTTATTGTTGTAGGATGCTTTTAATATGAGTTAAAAAGTTGTCGATGAGCTGTGGAAGATGTAATGATTGGGAACTCCTTCTCGACCGCAGATTCAGGTGTCCGTGTTGGAGATATGATGTCTGAAGTAATATGAAGGGAAGGGGCCGTGTCCAGTGGTATATTTTGTGAGTTGTGGGGTTGCAATGAGACGGGCCGTTGACACTTTTGGAAGGAAGATATAGGTACGGCGACCTGTTTCACTTGTGTCCATTCATGTTGCCATTCTCTGAGGACTGCTTGATGCAATATTGACCTTAGATTAAACGACGGAGCTGGTATGTTCTCTGGGTGGGCATAGGTTCCGTTGGCAGCGTCCTTTGCCAGGACGTCTGCAGCCTCGTTACCCTCTGTGCCCTACGCGCCTTGACCCAGGTTAGTTGAATGCTGTTATATCTGCTGTGGTAAACTTGACTTTGTATGCCCGTAATTATTGGTCATGTGTGACGGTGATTCAAGATGGCATGGAAAGATGATTGGATCACGCCGTTTCGTAACTTCCTACTCCACTTACAGATTTGCTGCAGTGTTAAATATGCCTTACCATACTGTACTTTCATTCGCTGATGGATTTTTAATAGGTTTCGGGCCTTCAAGGCTCAAAAAACGTATGACAGAGCGTTTTCTTCATTTGGTGCATGACGCATCAGGGACAGACATTTTAAACTGGTATTCTGGCCGCGTTTTGCTTCTCTGCAGCATGCTGCCATCTGTTTGGTATTCTTTAAAACACTGGCACTCAAATTACAGAACATGGCCGTGGAAATGGAACGTTTATTACTTTTCTAAGGTTTTCATTTGACTGCCCTACGTAATTTTACATATATCTCCTTCCTTTTATGTAATAATGTTGCGTGATGTATGAAACGAAATGATTGTGTAAAAGCAAATTTATTGGATACAAATTTTATCTCATATCTATTGCAGATTTTAGAAGACATACGCTTTAACTAAGATAAAAAAATAGAACTTCTTTATCTGCTGATAAGCTTGGTGACCTCTGTGATATTGAAGGCAGTAGCCATTCTTCCCTAATGCCTTTATCATTCCTGATTGACTCCATTGACATTCCTGTTTCTTCTGAAATTCAGAATGGCATGTACCCAACGCAAGTGTGAAAATAACGGAAGGTCCTGCTTTATCTTGCATCTTTCCTTCTTTGTGCTGCAATATCTTATTTCTGCAATGCCAGCTTAGACTGCCGCTTCAGCCCTGGATGGTTAATATCAAATCATGTCAGACCTCCTAATACTTAAATCATTTTCAAGTAAAATGACATTTTCAAGTAAAAGTTTTAATTTTCTCATCAAAATGGATAATCTTCAAATAATATTAGTCATTTGCAATTGATTGCTTCACAATTTCAGTCTCGAAATACATCTAATTGTAGTTTTAGTACTTCATAAGTACGTGAAGTTCTTATATTCCTTATTTCGCAGTTCTGGAGTGCGAGCCACCTAATTATCCACAATGGGGAGGATATGGTCCAAGGCAAGATTTCTATATTCCTGGAGATGTAATTCATTATTACTGTGACACTGACACGTATATCGGAGGAAATTTTTACAGAGTTTGTGAAGATACCGGTGATTGGAGCGGTGATACACCTGTTTGCGGTAAGTTTATTTAGTTTTAAGTGTAAGTTTCATTATTTTTCCTTTTATATTTTTATCTCGGTCTGGCCAAATTTTATTTTCGAAAAGAATCTATTTTTTAAACGGGAAAAACTGCTGAGAATCCTAAATAAAACTTTTAAATTTTAAAGTGAGAGAAAATTTTAGATTAGACATCTGTTAAACCATGTAACTTTCTCGTAATATTTAAAATAAATTTTACAAGTAAAATACTTTTTATATTAAAAATAATGATATGACTTATTAAAATTCAGGGTATTTAACCTAAAGAAAGAAGCTTCAGAAATGCAAAATGTATTTTTTATTTTTTTTAATACATTTTGCTTTTTAATACGTAATCATATGTGTCTAATAATTTATAAAATAACAGTCTTGCAGCTATTTGTCATGAAATAAGTTATAGCTACTATGATGTAAAACTACTTTTTTTTTTCGTAAGACTTAATAACAGTTTTGTAGATAACATTTTAATCTTAACAAGTGCCTGTAAGTCTTATTTCTGAAATAATGATCATTAAGTGCGTTGCCGGTTAAAAACTCTCTTAAACAAAACAAAACTTTTATGAAAACAGTTTCGATATGTACCGTAGATGAATTCTGTTAAAGTAAATGTTTGCTTTTTTTATTCATGTATTGTATAGTAAACGTTTCAAATAATCAAACATTAAGATTTGCTTTATAAAAAACAAAATATTGCATACATTTCATGCAAAATTCTCAAATATGTATTCACATAATTTTGAGAGGCAGTTGCATAATGTAATAACAGATTCTACGTCACGTAAGACAGAATCAAAACAGACAATTTTTGCTCAAAAGCCGTTAAGTCCTTTCTGAAACGTTTTGAATTCGTCGGTAATAAGCAAATGAAGGCAAATGCAGTCAGTAAATTCATTTTGGAATATCTCCGCCGCGTTTCCGCGTAAAGGTATGGAAACTTTTTTTATTTCACTAAAACATAATGAATATTTTTTACCATGCGAAGATTATGCAAAAGTTTAGATTTTATTTTTATAGAAACCTCTCAGCCACATGTTTGAGATTGTTTTAAAAACCTCTTTACATATGCAAACTTTAAAAAATTTTATCACTAGCAGTATATGTCTTTGGCATTAATATATAAGGAAACAAGGTCTGCTGTCACTTTTTTCAATATTCTCTTTAATAATACTTTAATAATATTTTAGCTCCAGTAGCATTTTAATAAACGAATATCCAGTAGCAATATTCGATTATTAAGATGATTACTATAATGCGTACAAAACTAATATTACTTTTTCATGTCTTATACGAAAATAAAAGAGCTGAAGTAAAACTAATTACCTTGCAGATGCTCCGGCAACTTTTTCGTTAGTCAATCAGACCAGCACGGTAGAACCTGTTCAAGAAAACGCAGCAGAAAATGCAATAGATGGTTTGAGAACTACCTGTTCTTCCACCACAGCTGGACAAGGATCTTCATGGATTGGAATTTTAGAAAATCCTGGACAACTCATTCGAGTGATGATTTTCTTACCTAAAGGTTATGATTTGTTCCCATTTCAATTAAGCAGTTGCTTGTAAAACTACGTTCTGTATATAAATTTAATAGTACTGGTCTTCCCTAAACAGATATTGCAAGTAAATTTTATGTCTACCAAAAACGGTTAATCAATAAATCGATAAAAATCTGCAAATTTACAGCTGTTTGCAGAGAAATATGATAATTAAGAAACATCTTGTAAAGATTATGTTTAGTTCGAGCAATAGTCTCACAAGATATATTTACTCATCTTATACGTAACAGGTAAGTACATCATTCAATTAATATTTTACAGGTGTTTATAATATTGAGGAGGAAACTAAAAAAGGCACCGATAAAGAACCATCCAATTGTTATAAAAATTGATATGCGTAATGTGCGAGAATAAAAATAGAAATTATTATGATTCTAGAAAAGAGAAGCCTTTTTCTTTTATAATAAAATATTTACAAAAGGGGTGGGGAATTCAATTCTTTAACCATCACCTCTAAATTAAATATAAGAAGTTTCAATAGCGGAATTTCCTTGAGCTGTAATGTACCAGATATGCGTGAATTGGATGGCAAGTGAGTATTCCGAAATGAGCGTAGGCACATCTCATCATCTGCCAAGTCGAACAGTCAGCCTGGCCACGGTCCTACATTATAAGAATAGCTTTGGAAGAAATGCTCTATGAATGGTCGGAAATTTCTTTCAGTAAAATACCTACGGTGAGATGTGATGAAAATGGTAACAAAATTGGCTGCTTAATATACCATCGACATAATATGCTACCATGAGGATCTTAAAGATCCTGATGGCAACTTAATAGTCAAGAAGACTATTAAGATGTCTAACTATTGTAGGACACAGTTCCTTAAAAAGTCACTCCAGGTGTCGTAGAAGTTTGGACTATCACAATAGGATCGGATTCTATGATTTGGTTGTCTAATGTCTGGACATACAATCCTGGGCAAGTAAATCCACCACAAATGATGTCCTATTAAGTTAACACGATTAGCTGGAGACCGTCCTGTACTGCAGGCGTCGGCAACCTATGGCGCACATGCCATATTTAGCACGTGGTACAGTTCTCAGTGGTACTCTGCACCACTCTACAAAGTTATCAGATAAAGATATATCGCTTTGTCTCTCCTCTCTGCACCGACCTATCTCATGCCTCCCAGTTTTTCTCTCCTTTCGTTCGTCGCACCCGATACACGAATATCGAGTATGATTTTAGTCGAAAGTAGGATTTAGTTTGATTCATGTCGTGCGCTATAGGTTACATTTAACTTTACGACACGTTCTTAGTTTTAATGTGAAAACTTTTATTTTGTTTATTTAATTATTGTGAAAATTCATACCTATATATTTTTATCAAGAGGCCACTAAAGAGGTTAAGCTTGATGTTCGCAGGCCACTAAAAAATAAAACTTGATGTTCGCGGCTTTTAAGATTCTTGGACGAATGAATATGAATTCGTACAACAAAATAATTGTGCTGTGTGTGTGTTATGTTGCGAAAGCATCGGATGTCGCACGTTAAGAATACAAAGTACAAAGAAATTTTCAAACTAAACATCAGTCTACATTTCAGAATTCCAATGAGAAATTCGAAGTTATAAGAACTGTTACTAGATATAAGAAACAAGCTACATTTTTATCAAACAATTGGAATTAAAAATAAAGCGACGGAATTTAGTTTCGTAATTGCTCGTTGCGTAGTTGCCAAAGATAAATCTTTCACAGATGGCAAATATGTAAAGGACGCGTTTTTAAAGCTAGAGGGAATAGTAGGAATAGTAACTGGAATAGTAGTTAGCGACGCTGACTGCCGTACCGAAGGCCCGATTTCGAATCCTGGAGCAGACATGGATGTTTGTAAATATATAGTATCTGTGCGGCATGTGGGTGCGGCGAGCCGAAAGTCCTATCCAGAGGTTGTGATAGAGGAAGAGGGGTGGGAGACTCTCAGATCTCCCCCTTCCCGGAATGCTCTCCATCAACATTGGGAGCGAAACTGAGCAAAGTCGTACTGTCAGCTGTATGGGGCTCAAGGCTGTTGCCAACGACAGGCCCAATCTTGCAGTCCTTGCCACGATGAATTTCGTAGGCTTGTTCTGATGTTACTGTCAAACAAGTGAGATAAGTCATAACAACAAGCACACATTCTTAAGAATAGTTGAATATTGTTCACCGATTTACCAAATCTAAAAACAATATTATCCCAAATTCAAGAAATACCGGATTCTGTGGGAATTATTGAAAGGCAAATAACTGAAATGGCAAAGCAACAAAGCAGAGTTCTGGATTAAAAGAAACTGCTGCATTTCAGCGTTGCTTTTGATGAAAGTGCCGAAGTGAATGATGTTGCGCGCCCTGTTATGTTATTAGTATGTTGTTATTTTACGTTATTTATTTATTATTTTAATAAACATGTTTAAAAATTACATAATATATGTACAATTTAAATTTTTATTTTTGCTAATGGAATAGTTATATTTTGTGTTTTTATTTTATTTTTATGTTAATAAATATATTTAAATGATACATAGTTAATATATAATAAAACTCTAAATCTGTATTCTTGACCTCTAATTCCCTAACTCTGCAGGCATTGCCATGGGAATCGAATTATTTCAAATCTATCCTACTGTTCAACATCCTGAATCATATTGGTAGATTGGTTTGGCACACCACAACTACAAGGTTGACGACCCCTCCTATACTAAGTGATGAGGCACATCTATAAAAGATGCCAGTGATTCACACTATTCATTGGTAGCTTAAGAAATAGCTTTTTGGAACGCAGTGCGTGCTTTTTTAAGTCATCTGATGACGGTCTGAATGATTATATTCGTATCTATAAACATCATATGACCACTGATGATGGAAAGCAAAATGAAAAGCTATACGACTAGTACTCTTCGTGTCATTTTTACAAACTTATTATCGTGACACTCTGTGCATGGCGATCCAATAATTACATTTTTTATCATAAGTTCATTTAGCTCACTGAAGGTGTTTGTGACCAAAAACCCGTAATTAGTTCATTTTTAAACAACTTCCTGATAAACTGCCGAACTCAAGTTTTGCACACATATTTTTTGTTGATGACACATACTGTCATCAACAAAAAATATGTGTGCAAAACTTGAGTTCAAACTTGAGATGACAGTATGTATACTATCATAGGTGAGGCAACTTTTACAAAATTTAATTCAGATTTTTTTTTTAATTTAATGTTTAAATCATTTTCGCACATAGCTTCTTTCAACGAAAAAAAAAAACTAAAAATTTCAGAATTTGACTATTCTGACATCGTGCAAAAAAATCTTTTTAATGAAATTTTTAAGTTCTTACTTTTTGGCCAATTTTCGAAAATCACTCGATTGTTTTGGCTATTTGGCATTTATGATTTGAAACGTCTAAAAATGTATCTGTTGCTAAATTTCTAAATTTTTACAGATTATAAATATATTACTTCGCCCTCTTTTAAAACAATAATGATAAAAAGATATTAATTGGGCTATTTTCTATATTAAATAAATATATATATATACGTGTGTGGTCAATGGCCATACCATGCTGAAAGTACCGGTTCTTGTCCGATATATGTATATATATGTTGTAATATGAAGAAGATTGAGAGAAGTATTGATTTTTCATTAAGCGTCGCTGCAAAACATAGTTTCATTATGATGTCATTATGCCATACAGTTTTTCTCCCTCCCCTTGCTAAAAAGAATTACTTGCAAAGACACTAAGCTTTCTATAAAAGTCTATTGTTATTTTCTAAATACTATTTCTTGCCCCTTTTCACCGTAGATAGATTTTGCATTTACTATTCATTTTCTTGTATCAGTCTCAAAAACAACACTTTTAAACGATTGATTAGCGTTTTGAATTATCTGCAGTCTGCCTTGCCAATTTTAATTTTTCCTGTTTGTAAGTTTATATACAATTTTCTTTATTGTAAAGCTAGAAATAATATATTTTATTGGAAGATGGTAATAAGAGAATCGTTGGAAGCATAAGAGAAGTTATTCGTTGTGAAAACGATTTTTCAATTCAGTCATTTAATTAATAACCTGCAGTACAGACTAAAAAGGAGAAAATATGAAATTTAAAAAAATTGTATAAAATAAGCTTTTATTTAAAGCTTGTAAAATATTTAATTAACTAAAAGAGGCAAAATAATTTATCACAAAGTTTTATGAGAACAAGACATTAAAAAATTCTCTTTACAAAATTCTTCTACAATTTTATATAACTAACAACAAAAGTGCGGTTGCCTAAATAACGAAATCTAATAACCTAATTGCATTGTCTAAAGTAAAACCATTACCTTTCTAAACTTATCAAGAGCAATCCATGCTTTTGTGTATTATCCGTGATATAAAATTGTAGAGAATTATGTAATCCCTTATTCCCACTAAAGTAAGTGATAAATTATTTTCTTCTTTTTCAGATATTTTTATTGCATTGTGTACTTTACTAGCTTCTGCCAATAACATCATATATCATATAACCAGTCGTTTCTACCTACCCACTGGGCAGCAGATAGATTGATTGGGCTGACGCTGCCTCTTTTAGCCTGATAATTCAACAGCTCTCACTCATTTACTCGCCCTGTGTGTTTGAATCCAACTCAGAACATCCTTATAGTCTATAGGTGTCCCTACAATCGCACTTTTCATTTAGCCTTTGTTCTTAGACTTACCCTTCTTGTTTTCAGTATCAGGCGTTGTTAGGTAGCCACTACTCGATCACTGTTTTTGATTTTCTAGCCGGAGACTCTTTAATTTTTTGCATATTCTCTTCTGGGCTGGCAGGCTGAGTGTCATCCAGATCGAATAATAATCTTGTAAAGAGTCTATTTTTGTTTTATTTTATTACAGCGTATTTATTGTAAAGTATCTTTTACGAATAACTGCAGGTATGATTTAAAAATAGGCCTAGAAAACATAAAATGCTGATATTGTTAGTGTATTTAAATAATAGGAAGAATTTTTAATTCCTCATTCTGGAACGTAATACTTTTGTTTTAATGCAAATTTTAGCAACTCATTTCCACAATTTTTCTCTACCGTTTTTTTGTTTCAGTTTTTCTTCTGTAAAATCCATATATCACTGTCCATCTAATCCTACAAAACGTCTTTTGTTAGCTCCTTTTCCCTTCAGGTGGCGCTAAAATTGCTTAAGCAGTTTCTCGGTCCTGAAATCGATACATTTAATGCAGAAAACGGTTAACATATAAAACCTTTAATAAAAAAGGCACTAAAAGGAATCTTCTATCTGTATTTTTATTGAAAGTTTTACCAGTAATGGCCGATGAATTTTCGTTATCAGAGTTTAGAAGATATAAAACAGTGTCCATTTTTTTGCAAATTTCTTCTTCTAGAACACATTTAGTTACCATATTATTATTTTAATTTTGCATTTTGCAACTTTATTGTTTTTCTGGACTGTTAGAAATTTTGAAACCATTGACATGCTATGTAGATATCGTCACAAAAACATTATTTAAGTGCATGTGGACTTAAAATTAATTTGTTTTGTCGTGTACTTTAATGGGCGAAATCTAGTGTATAATGTGTCAACACCATATTTGCGATAATGTAATGTAAACTAATGCAATAATTGATTTATCTTTCAATTTTTCAGTGGATGTATCATACGAAGTTTTTATGGTAAAAGCCAATGGAGATGAGATGAGCTGCGGATCTAAGACGGCGAAAATAGGTTAATTGTTGTTAATCCAGTATCTAAAGCAGAAGTAAAATTAAATATTACGGTGATTATTAATCTTTCTTATTCGCAGATCGATTCAAATGGGAATTTCACAACTGTCCGGAGCCCCACAACACAGGTGTTGTGGGCGTGAAGATCAGATCTTTGTCAGCAGCTCCTTTGCAGCTTTGTGAAGTTGCCCCTTATGTACTCACAGGTAAGGATGTAATTTGTTTTTCCTTCTCTTTTTGTTAAATGAGCTGATCGTACTGCCAGAGTTGCATCAATGTACTTTCTAAGTACGTCATTGGTAGAAGGTACATAGTACGTTTCTTACTCATTAATAACGGTTTTCTGCGAGTTTTGTTCAGATGTTTTATTCATTCTTATAACTAATACGCTTCTAATAATGTTTTGCTAGCTAACACGCTCTTTTTATTCAACTTATACTTTCTAGTCACCTTCATTGGCATAGTTGTAATTGCTACACTTCTTTAATATATTGTTACAGGAGACTGAAAAATGAATCATTGCCTGCATGTTTGAGACTGGAGAAAAATATTCACTTTTCTGAAAAACGAGCCGCGAATGTAAACCATGCTGTTGTAATCGAACGTTTTAAGATATAAAGCTTCACTTTCATTTTATTATTCCCTGCCCAAAACTGATTTTAATGTTGCTTCTAGCTTCTGGCATTCCCCTTCTACATCGTTCTCATATTATTTTCTTTGAGTGAGTTCTCTTATTGAATATACTTGTATTTCAGCAGATTTGAAGATCGTAAAAACTCATTGAAGAACTCGTAAATATTTCAGCAAATAAAAGTCATTTTCATTAGCACAAAATAGATCGAAACATGGAAAATTGAAATAAAGTTATCAAAATGGAAATTATAAATTGTACCTAAGCATTACATATGTCCTGTTAATAAATCGAGAATATCTGGCCCACTTATCTGTGTTAAAGTTAATTCATAGAATGGATAATCATATTCATCTAATATGGCTTTGCATTCCATTAATGAAAGATTAAATAGCTTTGAATATTTACGATTATTTCATAATACTTTCCAGCCCATTTACCTATACATAGCAATGTGTTGCACCCATGCTTAAACGAGCTTGATATTATATTGTTCATAAGAATAATTAAAAGCAGATGGGAATGCTTTTGATGGTTTATGTGAAGATAAACTTGAGAAGTGTTTATAATTCCAAGGAAGTAATAACCTTAAAAGCTATCGGAACCCCATGTATTTCCGAAGCTATAATTAAAGCATCTGGTAGAGAGATTAGTGATTATTGTAAGCAGATGAAAATACAAATAGCCGATGAATTAAATTCTGAAAATTTACGAATATCGTTGTTAATTGGTTCATATTATTTTTGGAGTATCGTTGCTGGGAAAATAAAACGAAGTCCATGATCATTAGTAGGAATGGAAACGAAATTTGGGTATGTGATCAACGGATCTGACGCAACAATCTGATCGAACTCTAGGGAAGTCAGAGTATTGAAAACTATTGTTCGAAATGAAAACATAAGAAGAAACGGATAAAACGGATCTTAAATAAAATATTTGATTTAGAAAGTTTGGGAATCGCGTGCAATGAAAATTTTAAGGAAGAGTCATTAGATTATTATGAAGCAGAAGACGAAAAAACGAGCAAAGCCTGTCGCCAGGATTCGAATATGGACCTCTTGAATGCGTGCCGAGTGTGCTGCCGTTACACCACGCAGGCATGCAGAAAGGAGGGCGAAAATACTTTATATACATTTAGCCAAATTAATAACTTTTATAATTGATTCATACAATATTAAAGGAAAAAATTCATAAATCTTCAGGAAATGTATGCAATGAATACCTCTAAGATGATTACTTACGACTCCAGATGACTTTGTTTGTGGAAATGGTTTTTCTAAAAATGGTAACTTTCAATTATGACAATTAATAATTTACTTGCTTGTTTTACTCTACATAAGGCTCTGGGAAACTGTAAAAGAAAAGCTGTGAATTAGCATTTCAGTATACCTATTTATTTATATAGTGAACTCTCTCTTCGAGATCACCTCTCTGACAGTCATCTCTGAAGTAACCAATATTTCTGAAAACATATTCAAGAATCGATACTGAATATCAACTGCTTAAGATAACCTTCTCCTCAAGCCTAATTACAAAGTACAAATAATAACTACGAAAATAAATTGCCAAAAATTTAGTTTAAATACATAAAGGAAAATAAAAAAAAATTATCTTCCACTTAGTTTTTTAAATGTTTTAGATGCGCAATCGATGTCCATTTTATTGGATAAGAAATTAAATTCGAAGAAAAATATTACATTTCTTTTGCTTATATATTTAATTGCAACAGCTATATACGTAGTTGTGAATTATTGCGACACAGGTGCATGCAGTCAGTTACTGTGAAGAAAAAAAGAAAGAAAGAAAGAAAGAAAGAAATTACCGTAAGAAAGTGACGCAATAATGAATAATATTAAATAAATGTATAAAACTGTTATTAATTAATTGGTAGTTACCAATTAATTCATAATTACATCCAACTCTATATATGTGTGTGTGCAAAATTAAGAACATTTTCAAATGTCTATTTTTACGAAACGTATTGAATCAAAATTACTAAATGTGCGTCCGAAGAATTATGCAAATATTGAGAGTCGAATACGTAAGCATATACCTGCGTATCTGCAAAGCTGATTGTGGAGGCGATATAAGCGCACGAGGTTTTTGGCGATTTGTGTGCAAGTCCGCCTTCTGGCATTCACCATGTTTCTGGCAAGAGTTGGTTAATTTTTTTAAAGTATGAAATAAAAGTAGCCACGTACGTGTGGATAACAAAATGGGATGGAAAACTGTAGGTAGATTGGAGGCAGGAACATCACAAACGCAGGTGGCTACAAAGCTGAATGTAACGCGCACTTGTCCTGTGCAATTTGTGAAAACAGTTTCAGGACACTGAACTTCTGGATCCACATCGAGAAAACCTGGATAAGATCGATTAAAATCCACTAAGACGAATATGAGTTGTTAGGACTTTCTGCGTGGTGACACGGGCTTGCTGCAGCTTCCCAGCTCTACCGTAAATTGTATGCTTCCACTGGAACACGATTTTTACTGTCTACAATTGCCCGAAAGCTTCATAGAGCTGTATGCCATAAGACTCTTTGTTCGTGTCCGGATCACTGCAGCACACAAGAGAGCGAGTTTAGCATGATGCAACATGCGCCTTAGACCAGACTTCCATTGCGTACCGTGTTTTTTACAGATGAGTCGAGATTAAGCCTGGACATTGATTCTCTTATTGTACCAGTATCTGGAGAGAGCCTGGAATACGATACCATTTCTTTTTCATTAGAGTGGCTTGGGCAGGCATTATGTTGGACGTCCGCACACCCATATTTGACATATACTCCCTGACTGCTATGAGGTGTAGAAACGAGATCTCAGAGTTGTACGTTCGACTTTTCAGGGGTGAAGTTTTTCCTGGGTTTCTGCTAATTGACAACAACTCTCTTGTACATAAGGCTTAGCTGGTCGACAATTGCCTGGAAAGTGAGAATATTCGCCGCATGCATTAGCCAGATAGATCTCCTGGCCTTACCCCTATAGAGCACATTTGGGGAGCTCTTGAGAGGGCAGTCTCATCTTGCCACCCGCTGCCTAGAACGATTCAGGAGTTCAAAGCTGCCTTGCTGCAAGTATGGGATTGAGTGACACAAAGAATTCTAACTGCCTGCTGTTCAGTATGCCGTCATGCTGCGCACCCTGTCTGGTTGTGAGAGAGGGGCGTTACCCCATATTTGACTTATTTTCAGTTCGATATCACGACGTGGATTTTGAACCTGAGCTATGAGCTTTACATAAAATGATAGGCGTACCTAAAATGACTTCTGAATGGTAGATCTCTTTCTCTGTTATAAATTTATAATCATATCAAATTTCATTAAAATCTGTCCATTAGTTTTTCAGAAATTCGACTCATTGTGCAAAGTCTCTTAATTTTGCACATGAGTGTATATCAAACAATTACTTAAAAAGTAATAAAATAGGAACTGAAAAATAACGGAAATCAAGAACTTAGCAGCTTAAGATTGAAAACTTAATTGTACTAAATAATTTTTTTTCATTACGATTATACTATCCTGGAACTGTAATATTATATTAAGAAATCAATTAGCAACTATACTAAGCAGTTGTTATTATTATAATTTTATTAAGCGGATGAATGGCAACTGCCAAATATGAACTGGGCAAGTTTTTAACCATGTATACAACTTTATTGATCTTAATGTGGGGTACCATGGGAAAATGCGAAATAAACATCAGCATGGCATTGGCCAGTACCATCTAGTTTCCTATCTCTTAGAATTTAGGCGGCTACTGCAGGAAAAGACTCAAATATTTTTCCCACTGTTAAATTAATCGTCAGGTTCTGCTTCATGTATGAATTGGAATTAATTTGTTAAAATCTATTTTGTATTTTACTTTATTTTTTGTATTTATTCTGGATTTCATAAAATAGCCATCTTTTCATAAGCTCACCAGCGGCCAAGAGATAGAATCTCTAAACACTGATAGTTCGTTCAGAGTTCACGTCGTATCGAATTTCTTAGCTGAATGGATATTTTCGTGGTTTTCCCCATGTGTAGCGTGAATACGAGCTAGTTTCCCTTGGGAATTCCTCCACGAAACATTTCTTCCCATAGGTAAATAGCCCTAGAATTGCATTGCCTTAATCGATTAGCCTAACCTAACCTAACTATTGTTTTGATGAAGCTTTACGTATCGTTAAAATTGCAGCCATCTAGTTAGATTTAGTATCAATGGTTGTGAAATTGCATTCTTAACCTAATAAATTTTAGAAATTTTCTAACATTGAATTCATTTCATAAAGTGTTGTACAAGTATGTAGTATTAATTAAATTAAAATATATGCAGTTGAACTAAGTGTACGATGTCTAACGTTAATAAAAATTTTCCTAAATATTTGTACACAACTCTCTTCTGTTTTGCGAAAAGTAATGAAAAATTTCCTAAAAGTTTAGTTATTTTAGTATTTTTCTGCTAACGGGGTGCCAGTCACCAAATTTGCGCCCAAATGCCAAAATGCCTATTTATATTGCGTCTTGAGTAGCTGTGTAATGTTTAATGTGCGCGATTCCTTGAAATTTTTAATGTTTTTCCCATGTACATAGCAATCTGTTTTCACATTTGGCATCACGCACAACTTTGGAAATGCACATATTAAATGTTATATAGGCTTTAGTGTAGAATTGGGTGCCCCTTCGATTGGCGACATTTAAAAAAAAAAAATTTTGGCGATGAAACCTCACTTTTGGTTACCACGATAGTTTTAACTTTGTTTTAGCTTCTCGATTTTATTCAAATGAAAATAGATTGATGTGTACATGGACATATTTAAGGCAGTGTGCAATGCCTAGTTTGTTCAATTCTAGGATGTTTTTTTAAGTAAAAACAGATCGATGTGTACTTGGACACAGATCTTACGCAATTCTTCGACTTCTTATTTTGGTTTTGTGTAGCGGCCATCTTGAAATTGTGACTTCCTGGCGCCGATCTTGGCATCAAAAAAGAATCGCCAATAAACAAGGGGCACCCAATTGTAAACTTTTACCTGTTATATATATTGTAATATGTATTACTGTTATCACAAGTTCGTTTTTTTACCATGAAGCCTTATTGTTAGAATTGCCACCATCTACTTAGATTTCGCGCTAACTTTTATGTTTAGCGCTAAATAGCGCCCTGTTAACAAAAACGTACTCTTATTCCCATGATTTTGTATAAAACTTTGATTAGTTAAATATATATTTAATCAATATTTTATATTAAAAAAATTCAGTTAGCTATATTTATCTTAAAATAGGTAAATACTTTAAGATATAATAACGTTTTTGCCAGTTCTCTAAGCTGTCATCCTAAATATCAGCACGTTATTAAAATTTGGAGTTTTAAATGCTTTATATTTATTGCTGTCACTAAATACTTAAAATGACTTCACTTCCTTTCTCATAAGTTTTTAAATTGATCAGACAATCTGAGATGAAGTATGAACCATCGAAAAAAGAGTTCTTCAATTACTATAATTCATCAACTTTTATAACTTTTATTTCCAGATCCGACTTGTGTAGATCCGCACGTACCGATCGAGAATGGCAGGCTTCAGCTCAATCGTAAGTTCGCATCCCTAGTATGTGATGCCGGCTATACTCGCAGCCCTGCTACCCGTTTGGAATGTGTACGTACAGGCGTATGGAATAGAAAAACATTGTATTGTCTAGGTAAGTTTGTTTTCTTTAAAATTTCTTTAAAATGACCATTTATTTTTCATAGTGTAGCTAGAGCATAAGAAATAAATGAACAATCTCATGAAGCCACACAAAATCTTGAAAATGAAATTTACATTGAGAGAAGAATTCATTGCTTTTAAAGGTTTCCTTCAAAGATTCAAAGGCTGTCATTGGCTTTGCAATTCCTTAAGGCGTAACAAAAAGACAAAATTCAAAATTCCTTGTTTCTGTTCCCGCGACATAAACTCGGACAAATGGCTATAAAATGCGACTTTTTGTTATTTAATCCGGAGAAATGCGCCTGAAAACCAGTAAAACAGAAAACTGAGATTCATTTTACTATGGTGTTCCTTATATTGCGAATCTTAGAAATACTGGACACTGGAAAGTGACGTCATTACATAACTCTGCACTTATAACAAATGCTCTATATAGTATTATGCTTTTAGATATTACACTGAAGCTGCCTACACATTATTCAACGCATCCTCAGAATTACACGGCCAGCTACCAAACAGTGATCTTTCAAGCATAAATTTTATTGTAAATATTATTATGAAAAAGACTGCAGTATTTGAATACGCTTGGATATAATACGAATATCTTAACGTTTCAAATTAAAAAATAATGTATTCTCGAAAATCTGATTTTTAGTAACATATAAAGGTCGAATAGCAGCTAAACATTTTAGAAATGTTTTCGAAAAATAATTTTATAAAATATAAAGGCAAACATCACATACATATTAAGTAAATAAATGTATGGTGCAAGATGTATACAATATGATTTACATATTTAAAGAAACGGGCTATCATATGTATTTACTTTTTGTGTGCAGTCTATTTTTAGCTTTCTGTTTTGTTTGCTGTTTTATATGCATAATTTGTTGAATGGAGTTTATAAAATTAACCTGAATTCGCTATTAAATGTAATGTTGTTTGAGACGTTCTGTCGGCAGTCTTTTTCTGGAGAAAAATGTTTGCTTAAATGACAGATGAGTTACTGATGTTTAAGTATATCATCGTCTTTAGGAGAATGTCTTGATTGTATTAAAGTAAATTAGCAATTTTACTGTTAGTGGTTTGCAAAAAGTAAAAAACATGTCTAAAATATGTAGTTTAATTCCATAAAGCAAAACAGAAGGTTACATCAAATAACATTAATGAAAGGGTGAATGTAAGTATATCTAAGAGGTCATCTGTGAAATTTCGAAGTAAAAATTTCTGTTTAGAGGAACTCTCTAAGTTCGAGAAGATCATCACATGTCCGTAAAATGCAGTTTGAGTTTAAATAATTTGCTCCACAGGTAATGAATGCATGATATGCAGAAACAGCAACAATTATTTTTAATCGCTTGCATTCAATAAGAAAGGCAAATAAGACTAGAAAATGGGTTCAATGTAATTTTATTGGGACCTTTAACTCCCAGACATTGCCTTTTGTTCTTCCTTTTCTTTTTAGACACCAAAAATAATCTTTTCTTGGATATGAGAGGATGTTGTACGAAATCCCTCTTTATCATGACAACGGTTGTCAAGCAACAAAATTTTGGAACAAACAGCAAAATCTGATAATATTCGTGGGTAGAAAACCTTTTTTGCGAATTCGACGGGAACGAAAAGTTATCATTCATCATATTCTTCTCAGACCAGTGAAAGAATAAACATTGACATCTTCTGTGTTCGCTTCACTGAGATGATTGCTAAAACTGCTGTAAAAATGTAACACTCAAATGAAAAGTTTTCCTGTTGCTTCAAAGTAAGGCTTCATGTCATTCCTCATGAATACACCACAACAAAAAAAAAAAAAAAAAAAAAAAAAAGAAAGAAAGAAAGAAAGAAAGAATTCGACTTGAAGTTCTTGTCTTACATTACAGTACAGGCATAGATGCTTTATGTGACCATTTGTTTCGATCAAGCCCACTCTTCTTAATCTGATAAAAACACTCAAAATATATGAAGATGTTTGACCAGCATTAGATCTCTAGTTTATAAATGCAGATTTATAAATGCAAATGTACAATCATCTTCTTCGGCAAAGTCACCAAATTACTGATAAAGGACTTTTGCAAAAATCTGAGTTTTGAGTAAATTCTGTAAAGCTGTCATTATCTTCAAAATTCCCGTTTTTTAACTGGGAGCTAAAAAGTTTTAATTTCATTTTTGCTAAGCATTTGCTTAGCAAGCATATGTTTAGCATTCTTGATAGCATAACATTTGCTAAGCTAAAAGTAATTTGTTCTTGCCCTTCAGTTTATATTTAGATTATCAAGATGGTTGGTAACATCCCCTAAAAATGCTAAGTAAAATATTGTCGTTGTTCATTTCTTAATAGACTGTCTTTCTCATACAGTAAGTATTTTTGATCTAGATTGCGTTATATAATATGTGAGACGTTATATAATATGTAAGGAAGTCCAAAAGTTATTTTCTTATAAGTGCGGCATTTAAAAGCTCAGGTCATAGTGATAATCAAGTTCAAATTGACAAAATTACTGATTTTCTGCACTTGTTTTACGCGTAATATAATACTTAATTATTTATTTCTAAGGTATGAAGGATCTTAATTTTTATTTTGTATGATCATAGATATATTTAACGATGATACCGATTTAAGCACATCATTTAAAGAAGGTAAAACTTAAATTTTAATAAATTGAGTATTTTCATGCGTAAGGATAATAATAAAAAATTCGACATTTTTAATCATTATTACTTTATTTCATTTAAATTTCTTTTATTTACCTAAAGAATAGTGGTTGAGCCAAATTATGAAAACTAAACTAAAAAGGAATTTTCTTATTAGTGTGACAAGATATATTTTAATACAGCGTAACAGAAAACAATTACTTCGTGATAAATGGTGTTTGTTAGTGTATAATATAGTGTGTATTGTAGGCTAATTTGGATTGATCTAAAGGATTGTTCCAAAAGCAGATCGTACCAGTTAAGCAATTAATTAATTGGAATGTGTCTTTCTCAGCTTTGTAGAATCGCAGCACAGACGAGACGATTTTGTAACATTGATCTATCTATAAATCAAGGTAAATAGAAACGTTCCATGGAAACCAAGTGATAAACTCAAATATTGCCACATGAGCGTATACAAAAGGAAACTGCTCTTGCTCAAAAGTAACTATGTAGATAACATCCGGCGACAAAAAAAAAAAAAAAAAAAAAAATCTTAAGTAGATCAATTTTGCAGCAAAATAATTTCCTTTTAAAGAACTAAATCCATTTATATGCTTTATTGATCATGTAAATTGGAGAAAAGAATGACGTGAAATTGTAGTAATGACAAGAGGTTTAAACTAGACACGGTAGATGAATTTTTCCCATTATTTTTACGATTTGAAGACAGAAAACATATAGAATCAAAATGTCAATTCGTTTTTAAGATTCTGTGATGGTTCGAAATGCCTTTTCTCTAAACAGATTAGAAATCGAATGAAGAAATAAGTCAAGAACTATTACAAAAACATTTTTTAAAGTAAAATTCAAAGTATGCTGATAGACATGGATATTTTTATAGAATAATGCTTTTCTGTATTCTCCTTCATTAGCTCATTAAGCTTCACTCTGCTTAATTTGCTACATTCTGCTCTTACAGCGAGCGTAAATCAAATGGGCGATCACGTATCCAATGAATGCTAGCTGATAAAGGCACATGAGCTATCTTTTTCACAGCAGTCTCTCCTGGAAGGTCACGGCAAATGTTTCTAGTGAAGGGCAAAATCAAATCTTCACCGATAGTGTCAGGGCTTTCTAGCCTTAGAAATCCCGTTAGCCACCATATATGATGCTCTCACTTTATTGATGTGTTGGTCCTGATAAATTTCTTCTATCCTTTGTGTTCTCTTTTTTTCTGTCAAAATACTCCGGGGGCTTGTCTTTTAATCCAGGGTGCTTGGCGTTCAAGTGGGGAAGTATTTTTGAAGGTTTCATTGCGTCGTTAGAGAGCTGGTCGCCAAAAACTATGCAGAGCGGTTTGGATGTGTAGGAATCACCTGTCCCAATAAATCCATATTTCAAGTAGGACTCATGGTACTGTCTGTTAAAAGTTATTAGAAAGCCGTCCGGGTGCCCTGTCCTGCTGTCACCTGTCACCTGTTAAAAGTTATGTGTTTCTTTGATGTTGAAGGCTCTTCACTGGGCCTTTCTTTTTCCCAAGGAAACTTTATAACGACGTCAGTTTCGTACCCATTTTTGCTAATTTGTGGATTAAATTTAAGCAAACACAATATACATGTACACCAAGCACTGTTAAACATGAGAAAATACCGGTGAACAGAGAAAAGAGCGATACACACTTTCTCTTTACCAAAGCTACAGCGCCATTGCCCTCAGCTCCAGATGTCACCTGCTCACCAGCGGCCGAGCGGTAAAGTAGCTGAACACTGGTAGTTCGGTCCGAGGTTCAAATCTCTGGCTGCATGGGTGTTTTCGTGGTTTTCCCCATGTGTAACGTGTATACGAGCCAGTTTCCCTTAGAAATTCCTCCACGAAGGCATCCCTCCCCTTAGGCAGATAGCTCTAGTGTGCTTTGCCATAATTAAATACACCACCACACCCATCAGCTGTCACCTAAAACCGCCCGATATCACGATACTTTGCGCATGCGAGGCATCGTCAATGGAAAATCTCACAAACCCGAGAGGAATACGCCACAGTAAATAAAATGGAAAGAATTTAATATTCCTTGGGCAGCCCAATATCCACGGACCGGTCCGTGGCCCGGGTTTGGGGAACCACTGCTGTATGTAATATGGTAGTAAAAGCAAGATCAATATATGAATTTCAGAAAATTTGTTGCAATGTTTTTAGAGTTCATTGGTGTCTGTAATTAACATTAAGTTAGTAGTAACATTAATTTATTTATAATTAATAACTATCTTATTCATCTAAAGATAGGTATTGATTATATATACTTTAAATGCTTTACAAAATAGGTAAATTGATATTTATTATTACACACCATTGGTACGTACATTTTTATGCATTACCATCTACGTATGATAGTAAAATATATTATTTATGATTTATGTTCTGTTATTGTTTTTAGAAAGACAATGGGAAGTCGAGAACAGTAATTCCAACAACCCAGAAGTGGTTGATAGGGAGCCTCAGTCAGCACCTGGAAGACTAGAGACTAAATAGACAGACTAGAGAATAAATAAAAATGTTTTTATTATGATACAAAATAATGCGTATCTGTAGTGGAATATTTTGAATAAAATATTTAGATATAAAAATTTGCATTTATTTTGCTGAATAATTAAATGTTGAAATCAAACTCGCATGAATTTCTGATGTTAAAAATAAATAATTATAGTATGTAAATCTTGCACATTTCCTAAATACACTGATTAATTTGAGCACTTTATGATTGTCTGCACGTCTTCCGAAAAGTCGCCAACCATTGGCAACGAATTTTCGCCAAGCTAAGATTCAGAAGACAACAGACATCTTCAGAAATGGAGGCGCACTACGAATTACATGATACAGCAGCCAATTAACAAAATTAAAAACTCATGAAACATCCATAATAAAACATTTACCTTTATTGCACTATCTTCAAAAGACATTAGAGAATTGCAGAAACTTGGCATCGCGCACAACTTGGCACTGCGCATATTGTCTGTTCTTCACCTGTCTAGCTTAAAAAAATCAGAGAATTGCGCACCTTGTTGTTTTCATATGTACATAGCGATATGTTTTCACCTAAAACGGTATCAGTGAATTGCACAAATTTTGACCATAAAATTCGATATTTTCCGAAGTATAACTTAATAGAATTCGAGCTTTTCCATTCTCTATGTTTAGAAAACTTCCATGTTGCTTACGAAATGCAGTATTTTCTTTTTCATCAGCCGGTAAACTTCCCAGTCTCTCTGTAAGAAAAGAAAAAAAAAATCTGATGTCGGTGTCGAATTTGAAGATGAAAGGATGTCTTCGCTGGAAAACGGCGTCCGGCTACTAGTCAGCTTTTGATTTTAAAATTACCTTCTGTGAAGGAAAAAAAGCATATATATACATGATTTTAATATTAATAATACAAAAAATTTTTATTTCAGTTTTTGTTGTTTCCAAAATAAAATCAGATTAAAGTTCTTTTTTGCAATGTAATTAATGATTATTGTTCTGAATGCATTAAAAGTTTATTCTTATTCTGACATTGTGTTCCGTAGAGAATAAAATGTAGTTTAAAAAAGAAATACTCTGATGCATCGTGTCATAGCTGCCAACTCTACCGGTCTTTCGTCACATCTCCTGGGCTCTTGATAGATTACCGAATCTCGTTTTTAAATCTTAGCCTTTATTAAAAAGCATATTTCTTAGAAGTTAATGAAATATAATTAATTAAACTTAAATTGCGCAAAGTCCATTCCCCAATCTCTAAATATTTTCAGCATAATGTTTCTAACTGAATTTTATTTGATCTTATTTATCCAAGTCTACTGTAGGCATCTGTAGAACTTTTTATGAAGATTCAAGCGTAGTGTTCAATCAGTTTATAATTTATGCTTAATTTTGTTTTACATGAATATGTGTAACATATACGTTATCCACGTACTACTATATGCAGCAATAATTAATTTTATTTTATCACATTAAAAAAGCATATTTTATCACATATTCATTTATTTTATCACATTTAAAAGCACTTGAAAATTTTAAAAATACTTGGGTTAATTTAAAAACACTTGGATAAAGAAAAGCTTGCTTTCTCTATTCGGGACTTTTATTATACTCATTATACAGATGTAAAAACTTACAGAGTAAATTTAGTCAAACAACATAAAATTTAGAAAAACTAAATAAATATTAATATATTTTACATCAAAATAATATTATAAGTAGTTAAATTCAAACCCGCGTCATGCATTATAGAGTGAATTTATTCGAATTTAGTGTTTTCTTGAAATGCCAAAAACCTCCCTTTCGTTTCTTGCGCCAGAGTGTCCTCGTTTTTCATACTTCAAGGCTGGGAACTGTGTTGTGTAAAAGGAAAATATATACTTATTTAGGATCAGTCAGCTCTTTTTACTTTTATGTTAAACTTCTATTGCTTAATGACCAATTACTAAAAGTCTTAAGTTTCAACGTAGTTTTCATACGTTGCTTTAAGCAACGTATGAAAAAAGCCAGTTTGAGTGCCTCCTGTCCGTTGTTCCCCTTCTACGGAAGAGCGCGGCACTACAAGTTGTTACTGACTTTGACACCAAGTAATTTGCAAGAATAATTTGTGTGATCACTAGTGGTTCAAAAACTTATATAATATCGAATCAGTTTGAAAAAGTCTGAACATCTAGACCAAGGATGTCAAACTCGCGGCCCACAACAAATATTTTTGCGGCCCGGCCAATATATCGGCAAATAATAATATATAATAATAAAATAACATATCGACGAAAAAAAATGAAATGTTTACTGCTAAGTAATTAACGATAATTTATTCAGTGTTGTTAGATTACTCACAGCGAGCTGACACACACACTACTTAAATTACAAATGCGTGTGATTAGCTTGCGTTCAGCTATCTTCGGTTTTGGGGGACACGTGCACTCGGAACTTGGTCGCATCCCCCGATAGCCGAATGTGGCCGAACTCATGGTCTCAGTTTTCCAATCATAGTTTTGTACGATATATTTGTGCATGCATGTGCATGCACTTTGCTTTATTATTAATTATTATTTAATTCATATTGTTACGGATTTCATAGTTATTTATTTATTTTTTTAAATTTAGAATTGTAATTAGATTTGCTTCATGTTGCCTTAACAACGCAAACGATTTTTGAAAAAGACAGCTGCGTTGGAAGGTTAAAAATAGAACAGCGCGTGCATTTAATACCTAATAAATAAATATCTCGTAATTGTTGTTGCCATCCACAAAAATCCAGATATTTATAGATGTTTCCAGTATATTCGAGAAATTAATTATAAAGCTTATAAAAGCCGAGAACAAACAACTCATCTCAGTAGTAGCTGTAGTTCTAGCGAACTGTTTGTATACTTAATGCTGTGATTGATTTGTAGCGATTTCGCTGTGATATAGAATTAGTTTCTCTGTTTTGAATTGATTTTTGCTAAACGTTTGACATTTTGTGATATTGTTAGAATATTTTGAAGAAATATTTCAGCATTTTGATTTATCTCTTGTGGAAAGAATAAATTTTTGTTAACTTTTTAACGTTAATCGTGTTTATTCCAGCCCTTTGTATCAGTATGTCTATATCAAAACCAAGTGGTAGTAAAATTAAACGAAAATTCGCTGACGAACATAGAATATTCCAAGTAAAATGGGAATTAGAATATTTTTGCTGTGAATAAAAGATAAAATAATCTGCTTGATATGTAATAATACTATTAATGTACCAAAGTTATATAATATTAAACGTCATTACGAACAACACAAATCGAAATATAAACAATTACGAAGGATTAATGAGAGAAGAAAAGTTGATGAAGAGCTCAAGTTAGGAGTGAAAACAACAGTCCATGTTTAGTAAAGTATTGCAAGAAAGTGAAGCGGCGGTACATGCAAGCTACGTCTTGTCCGAGTTGATAGCTAAACATTCGAAGCCTTTTACTGACGGTGATTCCATCAAGGAATGCCTAATGAAAGCTGGAGAAATTGTTTGTCCTGGAAATGTGAAGGCTTTTCAATCAATTTCATTGTCTCGAAATACAGTTGCGGAAAGAGTTACTGATTTAGCCGCGAATTTAAGTGATCAGATCAAAGCAAAATCATCTAGTTTCGAAAGTTTCTCCATTGCCTGTGACGAGAGCACGGACATTAGTGACAAAGCTCAATTAGCAGTGTTTCTTCGTTCTTGTGACAAGAATTTTAACATTTTTGAGAAATTACTGGAACTAATACCGATGCCTGGTACTACCACAGGTGACAGGTGACAGCAGGACAGGGCACCCGGACGGCTTTCTATGACTACTCGGGTATTACCCTGGCCCTGCAACCATCTTGAGTCTCACAGTTGTAAGATGCTTTTATGTTTATTGCAGGTGCCCTATTCCGGCCTGCAGAGGTCTATGCCCATTTTTTCTAGTTTGGCCATTATGCATTTAAGCTTTTGCCGTGTGCCTCGATGTTTTATGAGAAGGCGTTTGAAAGGCAGAACATTGGTAGTTGGGAATTTTATGTGCCATTCTGCTGTTAAGGGGCACTCCGTGACATAATGGTCTGGTGAGCCCACGTTGCCACAAACACACATATCATTGTTGCTAGACCCCTTTCTGCAAATGGTACTACCACAGGAGAAGATATATTTACTTGTGTTTTTGGACTTCTGCAGAAATACAATCTACCTTTGGGAAAATTAAATACTGTAGCTACAGATGGCGCTCCATCAATGACCGGGAAAAACAAGGGCTTCGTAGCATTACTAAGAAAAAAACTTAGTGAAATTCACGGTTCAAACATTCATCATATGCATTGTATTATACATCAAGAAGTTCTATGCACGAAAGTAATAAATATGGAGAATGTTTTGTCATATATAAAAAAGTTATAAATTTTATAAGATCTCGTTTAAATCAGCGTCAATTCACTGCTTTCTTATGTGAGTTAGATAGTGAATATTCGTGTTTGTCCTACTATACCGAGGTACGTTGGTTATCTTGCTCCAAGGTTCTCAAACAATTCTGGGATTTGAAAGAAGAAATATGTCAGTTTTTAAAAACGAAAAATCAAGACGTAAGTTTGTTTTACTATCCAATATGGATACAAGATTTATCTTTCTTGGTTGATATAACCAAACACTTAACCGATTTAAATTTATCGTTACAAGGAAAAGATCATATCATTACGAACAGGTTTGACATAATTAAAGCATTCAAATGTCAACTAGTTCTTTGGGAAAAACAACTTAAAAATGAAGATTTGACGCACTTCCCGACGTGCAGCATGAATAAATCAAGTTTAGATGATGCTTGTTAGTATCAAAAATACGCAGAAAAAATTGCAAATTTAACAACTGAATTTGAAACGAGGTTTAATGATTTTAGTTCCCTCGAAGACAAATTTTTTTTGTTTTCTGCGATTTTCTCAATAAGTATTGACTCAGTACCTAGCCATATGCAAATGGAGGTGATCGAGATCCTATGCAACTCAAATTTGAAAGTAAAATTCATTGAAGTGGGCGTGCCTGAATTTTACAAATATTTACCAGCCAGGTTTGAAAATACTCGAAAATTCGCATATGAAATTATTTCCATGTTTGGTAGCACTTCTC